TGCTGTAAATCCAGGCCTCATTTACTGCAGTGATTTGTTTGTATCCTTTCCACCTCTTTCATTTTTGTCATTCTCTCTTCTTCTCCTTGTTGAAATAGAAGAAAACCTGAGGAAGTGAGGGAAAATAATGAAAAACCAATTGCACTAGATTCCCTCCCCCCCCAGGATGTGTTGGTTATGTATTATAGGCTGGTTTTGGCCTGCAAAAATGATGGTCTTTCCCAGTTCTCGTTATGCCAAATTAATAGCCATGGTGCAAGATCTCTTTCTGCATGTTTCTTTCAGGTGTAAATTATAGACTTCTCCAGGATTTTCATTGTTCTGTAACAGTTTCTTTTCATGTACCAATTTACCTCTCCTATGGCTGCTTTTCACCCTGTAGAACTGCAGGCCTGTTACAGTTCCAGGTGATGATCTCCATCTCCTCCTAAAACAAGACATGCATTATTACATGCTTTGAGTATCGTCTGAGGGTTCAGATTCTGGCTTCATATTATTAATTATTGATTCATTGCATCCATAATCCACTGTTTCCAGATTGACAAACTCAAATTTCGGATAAGGTCTTGCTTCTCTAAGTGTAGTTTTCTCACTAAAAAACAAAATCCCTACAGTCTTCACTGAAATACAGGAAACCCTCGCTATTCGTGGTTTCAAATATTCGCGAATGCCGAACCCACATTTTTAAATGCACTTTATACACTTACAGGAGCTCCGCGCTTGCTGCTGCCACACTCCCACCATCGCTGCCGGAGCCATACCCCGCTTCCCGCCCCCCAGCCCTCCAGGGGCACTGCGTTCATGAATGCAGTGCCATATTCGTGGATTTCACCCTTCAGGGAATCACAAGAATGTATCCCCTGCGAATGGTGAGGGTCACCTGTATATTTAGTCTCTGTTGCATTTTTGCTGTTTTCAAAGACAGTGGTTGTGGCAAAGAAACCACTTGAGCAAAAGGTTAATCAAGGATTCATCCTTTAGCATGAATTAGAATAGTCAATAATGCTAACCAAGTTTCCATATTGGTTAGCTCCAGGTAGTTTCCTGCACAGTGTGCTGCATGCCTTGGTTTCTGTTCTCCCTGTATAAGCAGTCTGTGTGCTTTGCATAGCATTCGAGACTCCCTGCAGGCCAGGTGTGTAAAAGGGAGGCATTGCAGTGCTCCACTTAGCACTAGATTTTTTTTTAAGTACAGTTTTCAGTTGTAACCTAAGGACCACAGTCTCTTAAAGTAGCTTAAATACTTTTGAAAAGTTTACCCTAGATCAGCGTTTCTCACCCCATGGGTCACAACCCAAAAGTGGGTTGCAAGAATATGTGAAAGGGTTGCAAACACATTTTAAAAAATGCATTCTCCTTTAAAGGAGAAAAATGTGGGAAACTGAGGTTTTCCCCCTTGCAGGCTGGCAGAAGTCCAGCTTGCAAGGGGCTGCTGGGGGGCGGGGCATGCCTCACACACTTCACACCACACACTAACCCCCTGCCCCACATGCGGGGACACTGGGGACAGAGGGTCGGGAGTGAGGGGCACTGGGTCGGGGCTGGTCTTGATGTTTACAAATGGATCCTAGTCCAAGAAGGGTTGAGAACCACTGCCCTAGACTATAAAATTCGCACATCCTTTGGGGAAGTGTTTTGGGAATTGCTCTAAAACTGATTAGATGGCTGCATTTATTGGGTGGTGTCTACACAACATCACTACTTCAGGCGGTTACTGAAATGGGAACACTAGGGTCCTTTTTCCTGCAAATAGGGAACCATAGCTAAAATAAACTCCACGATTTGGTATCCTTCTCTGCATGGAAGCCACGAAAAGCAAAGGGTCACCATGTGATGATGAACTGTGTACTTAGCTACAGTTGTGTTGCTGACGGGCAGAAGTAAAACGATCTTGAGAGACAACTCCTGCGACCTTCATTTGAGACCATCTTAAGGAAATACTGAAATAGTGAGATGGTTAAGGGTTAAAACAATTTGAAAGCTGTTAGATAGAGAAGCTAGACAGTAAATGGCTGAGTGAGATAGTTTTGAGAGCTGGAGCCTAAGCAGGTGAAAGGTCACAACTGGCTTGTGTGGGCTGGAGCACTACATACATATTTGCCAAATTTAAGAGGCATGTGGGAGATAAATGGCAATAACTGACATTGTGTATTATGGATAGTGTTGCTGGAGAACAGCCCAAATCAACTATGCTAACTGCTCTACTTATTGATAAAGATTATAAAATGCAAACTTGACATTAAATATGTAGAAATAGTAACTTTCTATCAGTTGATCTGTAATATAATAGCACTGCACTATTTCTTAAAAAACCCTAATTTTTCAGATTTTTGAAGGATGATTTTGTTTGTGAGCAAGTAATTTAAAACTGTTTTTAGTCTCTCTCTCTCTCTCTCTCTCTCTCTCTTTTTTTTTTTTTTATAGTGATTTTAATGCTATTCAGGAACGTATTATGTAGAAGAGTTAAAGACTGTACAGTCATGAGACAGTGCAGACCCCTGCAGTTCAGAAAGGTGGCCTTATGCTGTTGTCTGTTTGCTTTCAGTTATGGTGAGAGCTTCAAAAACAAGCAAATCCTGAAGGCTTCACTAGCTAATTGGGGATGGTGGTTTTTCAGTTTTTGGTTGCAGTCCAGTACTGTAAAGCAAAAATACTTTAAAAAAGTGTGTGTGTGTGTGTGTGTGTGTGTGTGTGTGCAGCCTCCTCTGACAAAGTTGTAGGTGTTTAATTGTATTCTACTTTGGTGTGATGAAGACATGCCCTTTAAACAGTTAATCTGGAGGACTGTGGAAATAAATAGTAATGCAAAAATCTTGCCTGTTTACATTGGGGGAAACAGCACTTGTAAAAACATGGCTATATAATGGTTACTGATATACTTGGATTTAAGTTCCTGGACTTCTCAGTTGTTCCTGTCCTTTCTACCTCCAATCCTACTGTTTGTTGGAAACTAGAACATCCTTACCTTTGAAGGAAAGCTGCACCTGCCTTGTTCACCTGTAATAGGAAAGCTCACAATCTAAAAGATGAATTGATTACTTTTGGGTGCTATTGGGCTCAAATACTACAGAGATTAACCTCGTGGAAAAAAGTTTTGTCTCAAACCAAATTGGAAAGAATCTTGGAAATTCAAATAGCTTTGCAGTTTAATCCATTAGAAAGTGATGAGATATTATATTGAATCTACTCTGCCAGTGCCAGAAAATTGTTTCAAGGTAAGATGGTCACATTTACTAATCGTTTCTAGTGACGTTAACAGATCTAGAGCAGCATTTCTCAACCCAGGTGCCAAGGCACCCTGGGGTGCCACTGGATCTTTTGAAGGGTGCTGTGAGGTGCAAGGAGATAAGTGAGGTGTTAGGAGATCAGCAGCTAAACTAAGCAGATAAGTGCAGACTCAGGCTTGTGTCTCTGTCTGGACTATCCCCCATTCACACTGCCAGGCTTCTCTGCAAGGAGTTAAGCACTGTAATCCATACATTAGTTTTTGAAATTGGGTGCCACTCAATTCAGAGAAGTAATGGAGGGGTGCCTCATCCAAAAAAGCTGAGAACCACTGAACTGTGGTTTGCATGGTGAATTCTAGCTACACGATTAACCCAAATAGCACTAAATTTTCAAGGTTCCTCAACACAGGCATATCAGCTGCTGACAGACATGAAAAACCCCAAACCAGCACTTTACTGGAAGAGGCAGTGCATTAGTTTGACCCAGCTCTCCAGTGTCTGTATAGATCGTGCGCATCAGCAAAGCTTTTTGGTACTTTTATCTAAAGCTGATTCGGTCAGCTATTGGATAAAGGCACCAAAATACCCCACTGAAGTGCGTGATCTGTACAAACGTTGGGCGAGCCGAGTCATACTAACATGATGTCTCTTCTGGGCGTGGCTGTCGTGTTTTTCATGTCTGTAAGCAGCCATGAGCTGTATCATAACTTACTTTTTGATGTGATATTTTGTTTCTTGGGTACTGTATGAGCTCAGTGTCCCTTCTAAAACATTTGGCATGCAAGTGTATATCCAAGTCCTTCTAAGAGCTGGGGTAGCTATGGCTCGTTTCTTTAATCTCTGGTGTCTTAATAATGATAATTGGGTAAAGAATTGCTTGATCATTTCGATTTTTAAATGGCAGCTTGTGGTGCTCCCTCTTTTATATAAGTCAGTACTGTGTTTGAGCAGGCTTTTGCAGTAGCTCTTTAAATACAGTGTTTCAGGTCCGAGCTGGTGAAAGGAATAGACCAGCAGGGCTGTGTCATACCGAAGTCATATATGTAATCGGAATAATAAGTAAAAAACTTGACTAAGTTTAAAGGCTAGCATTAATCTTAAAAAGCAGCATGCGCACCCCTGGTTTAAAAAACAAGGGGCGTTGCAAAGCCAGGGAGGTGGTGTCACAGAGCTGGGGGGCTGCTGCCAGTAACTATGTCAGTTGGGGTCCAGGGACCCTGAATTCTGTTTCACTGGACTACTGGCAGGCCAGATCCAACCCCTGGGCCATGTATGCAACAACTTTGTGTTGAATTCTTAAGTTGCGTTCCATCAAGGTTTTTCAGTAGTAGCACGTCACTTCAACTAATGTATGTACCAGAAAGGTAGAAAGAGATTCTGATTTCTTTGCACTGTCTGGGATGTTTCTGCTCTACTCAGTACTACAGTGCCAGAAGTGGGGGGCATATGTTATTTCTAAACATAAAATATCCCAATAAGCATCTGGTATTAGCCTTATTTTTATCTTTAACAGGTTTTTTCTCTGGTATTTAATGTAGCCCTTCACTAGAAATACATATAAGCTACACAGCTACTACAAGCAAGCTTTTCCTTCATTGCAAGAATGAACGTAGTATGTTTTGCACCTCCTTCTGAATTGTTTTCCTACAGGAATACTGATTTTTATGTGGCACAGTAAACATTATGTACTCTAGGTTCTTGTTCCTTTTTATAGTGTACTCTTTGATCACTGACTCTTTTTCTTTTCCTTGTTTTCCTGAATTGTTCTTTTAGGGTTGCAGGGTTCTGGTTGATGCCCGGGACAAACTAGGAATCCCTTGGCAGTACACGGAGAACGAGAAGCATGGAATGTTTTTGATGGCTTTTGAGAACAAAGCTGGAATGCCCGTAGAGCCTGCCATGTTCCAGTTGTATGTACCTGCACTGAGCGCACTGTGGAGGGATTCTGGGATCAAGGAAGCTTTTAGTCGCCGAAGCGAGTATCAGTTGGTGAGTACATGCAAGTATCTTGTGAATGGGGAGTTGTAAAAGGTGGTTTTTGTATCTGAATATCTTTTTCAATTGGAAAAGCAGCTTGCCACTTGCAGGATTTAATAAAAACACAAGCAAGCTGTAGCACTGCTAGAAATCTGAGCATTACAGCA